GTATGTGCACGTGCCGTTACTCTTGGAAGGCTGAGGTGGCTTCGTCATCGCCCCGACACGTATGGCGTGTGCAATGAAGTGCGGCCGGCTGCGCGCGCACACATGTCCGCACTTGCGGCACGCGTCACTCGTGGCCTGTCTGTCTATTGATTTCCAGCGTGCATGCGATTATGTGCGGTGTATGTGCAGTGCGCGTGCGGATGTGCGTACGTGAATGCGTTGTGCAGGGTAAAGGATAGCCTGACATACGCGCGTGCATGTTGCGTATACGAGCCCGGCGTTTCTGCTGACGTATTCGCTTAGTACGTGTGCGTACGTGTGTGCAAGTGGGAGCGCGCCGGTGCGTGCGTGCGCATGATCGCGTGAACATACGATAGTAAACAGCGCGGCACTATTCTGCGGCTGCTGCTATATAAGGCTGGGTCGCCTTGAGTAGGCATTATTAGCGCATCTCGTCTTTTTCTACATTCAAAACGTTGTAGAAACGGGACGGATAATCGCATACACTTAGCACCATCTCATTATTTAATAGAAGCAGTCAATAGTCTTGAGCCATGTCCACCACAGTAGCCAATCATCGTCAAATTGTACACCGACCTTTCCGCAATGTCATTCAAAGTTATTCAGGTCAAATTGGGAACAGTGGACCGACAATAAACAAGTCCAGCTCACACAACTCCTCTGATCGCTCCCCCAACAGAATGCTGGCAGCATCAACAGCCACCGCAACGGTTGTCCACCGAGAAGAGGCTCTTCTCGCAATTTACGTTCATCCGACAGATGCAGGAGGTGTCGGTCACTACAAACCGTTTCTACTGCCTCCACGCGGCCCAGGTGAGAGTTCCCAATGCTCCCTCGAAAAGGGCCTTGGATACGGTGCTTTCGGTGTTGTCTGGTAAGGCACTCTCATTAACTTAATTTTGCATTGTTACTTGTTTCTCCGTAACATTTTGCATTTGTTATTTACGGTCGAGATAAAGGCTAGAGCATAATTTTTCATAAAAAAAGCTGATTTTTTAAGCATTTCTGAGCTCGTCCCTGTTTCTTTTATTGTGGGAGTGATTAGTGGCCGGCTAGGAAATCTTTATTCGTACCCAACAGCGAACAGAAATTTACGCTTTTGACCTGAAGAGGTTGAATGGTTGACCTGCTGCGTAACTTTAATCTTAGGAACAGGATGTATGGCCTTAGCTAGAACCTAACTTTGTCTCACACTATTGGCCTGGAGACGATTCTTCAGTTTTATCGGCAAAAAATGCTTGATCCCTCCACACGATTAACCCAGCGGACTAACATCGATAGCACGCCGTGTGGATTTGTGCTCCATCAGAGGACGTTGGAGCAAGGTTTTTATCTTCGTCTCTGTGCCATACGGCCAGACCTAGAGAGCATTTTTTATGGGGCATTCTTGTGCGAATGAACCTTCGTACACTTGTTACCATGGTAGATTGATGGCTCTACATACGCCATTATCATGCCCAATCTCGCACCATTCTTGTGGCTCATTGTCATCATTACTTTCCTTCCTTTACAATTTCGCCTAAACAGTACGAGTAACATTACAGTACGGTGCTTCTACGAATGTTGGATGTTACAGATTTTGAATTTTCTTTTTCAGGTCGGTTATTGACCCTCGGGATGGACGCAGAGTGGCGTTGAAGCGTATTCCCAGAGTCTTCCACAATCCCATCACTGCAAAGCGAGTATACCGCGAATTAAAAATGCTTTCTATGCTCCACCACGATAATGTAAATCACTTCTCATTCGCTTTTCTCAACTGCTTTAGTATTCCATAGAGGTATATCTGTTTCGTCTTTCCGCTTCAGATAGTCTCTTTGATTGATGTGGTGAAATCGGACAACTACTCTACATTTGATGAAGTGTATCCTTTTAACTGACCCTTCCTTCAGTTTTGATCAACATGAAAGCTGCTCCTTTCCTTTCTTATGTCGCTTTACCTTGGAAATGTGCACTTGAGGACCAAGAAGTATGGTACGCGAAAATACTATGTTTATGCGAAGACGGTGAATT